TTAATAACCCTCAACATGGTGTTTTGCGAGGTAACTTGCTCGATAATTTAATTTCGAGCATAATTTCCAGATTTTCTATTCAAGAAGTTCATCTTGATAAGTTGGTTTACATCACAATTGATTTAGCAAAATGATTTATTGAGTGCCTTTATTTAATAGCTAAACAATTGCTTATGAGAACAAAGTTTTGTATATCAGTTTGATATACGTTATATACGAAAGTATATTATTTTCTCCCCTCACAAGTGGTTCGGGGTCAGGAACCAAATAATTCCATCTTATTATTATTGATGTGCGGTGTATATTTTGATTAACACCTTAACGCACAAAGATGGATTTTCAAAATTGAGGAAGCAAGTTAGTGTTTCTAACATGAGGGGGAGACAAGATAAATAGTTGAGAAAAAGTTACGTGGAATGAATTATCATTTGTACATCTAGATCCTCGAATAAAATAATATGAACTTGAAGTTCATAAAAGGATAATTCATGTGCAATATATTGCAAAGCATGCCAGACGTATTTGCTGACCCAAAGAAAGTAACTATATTCTCATTGCAAATGCTCGTATTAAGTCCTAGAAGGACAACATCTATGGTACGCTTAAAGCATATAGACAAATCGGTTTCAAATAAACTTCTTAATATAGAAGATGAGGAAATGATCAAAATGATCATAATAAGGAGGAAAGTGATCTAGAACATCACATGACATAACACTTCATAAAATCTCAAGAGAGATTCAGGTACCTGAAAATATGAATGAAGAGACCTCTATGTTATGTCTTTATGAAAAAATATTGAAACTGATATAAAATGTTTGTCGACGACATCTATGTTATCCTAAGTATAAATGAGGATCTTAAGTATGTCGAATACAGACACAAAAATACTGGCCAAATAAAAGAGACACAATTCGAATAGAATTTGTTTCATACGAAAGACATATAGTTTTGGACCTTCAGTTCAAACACTTGAAAGTATGAAGCCAATGATATGTGCAATCAGTTTTCGATATCTTATTTGTCTAGCATGACATGAAAACTTGATATGCATCTAATTAAAGTTTATTATATGACTTATATGACAATCCTTGAAGGATTTAAATCGCTTGAAGCATATACAATTCTTGATCTTGAAGTACCACTTCCTCAGTGCAATTTGTGCACAAATGTATCTTGGTATAACTATAGGCATGCATGATAATATGATACCAAGAGTTTTCACCTCTATGTGAAGATATTGAACTGACGATTCCAACAAGATCATATGAAGACAATTCATCTCTATCAAGAATGATGATTTCAAGGTGCAATATATTCATTCAAGTTAATATGCATGTTGTTCATCAAATCTCTACCAAAGATCTTTTGAATATGGTGCACAAGATTGGAATGCAAATGCTTAAGGATGTGAATTGATGCTCTCATCAGGGGGAGTTAATACGCGTTGTACTCTTTTTCCCTTAAAAGGTTTTGTCCCACTGGGTTTTCCTTGCAAGGTTTTTAACGAGGCAACCAAAAGGCGTGTTATTAGATATGTGTACTCTTTTTCATTCTCTAGAATTTTTTTCCCAATGGGTTTTATTTTAGTTAAGGTTTTAACGAGGCACATTATCTATTGAATAGACATTCAAGCGGGAGTGTTATAAATAGAATTGTATTTATGGTGAATGTCTATATTTAGAGAGATTCTAGGGTTCATTGCTTGGTGGCTAAGTTACCCTCTCCCTATAAATAGAGGGTTCTATTCTGTTGTAATTCATCCCAAATTCAATAAGAATTCCCTCTCCCTCTTTCTCTGCAATATTGTTCTTTGTTCTTTTATTATTTTCATAACATTCTTAATATTTTCTTTTGCTAATTTTAAGGAAATGATTTTGGTTATTAGATGCCAATTTTTTTGGACTTATGTTGCCAAACCTAATATAAGGCTAAAAATTTATCAATTTTCTTTACATGTGTCATACCATGCCATTTTTTCTTATGAGAAACTTTCAGAAATTACTATGTTTTAGTGATTATTAGCTAGTTGTAGCTACCATTTACTGTGTTACTTCCTATAGCTATGTTTTCAGGGTTATTAGAGTGTATTCGATGTATTTAAGCTACTGTATTCATGAATACAGTAGCATTTCTAGGCGTGAAACAGGGGATTACAGCTAGACAGATTATTGTATTCGACTGTATTCACGGCGTGAAACAGGGGATTACAGCTAGACAGATTACTGTATTCGACTGTATTCACGATATGTATTTGTGAATACAGTAACGTAAATAGCGCAATTCATGGTCTATTCAGCTGTTTTTAAAACGAAAAGTGAATCAATTAACATAATAGACTCCTAATATAACTCAACAAACTCAATTATAACACACAAAATTTGTATTTCCAGTTATAAAAAAAAGATTCTCAACCGAAAAACACCCCAAAAATATAGCAATCTTCAGAGAAATTATATAATTACATTGAATATAGTTAAATACATAAAAATACATTGAATACATGAAGTATAGCAGGTCATCTATAGTGCAAAAATATATGAAAAAAAAGACAATGAATACAATGAAATACATGGAAATATAGCGAGATACATTGAAATACACTTAAAAAAAGGTAACAGAATCTTCAAGTTGCTCAGCCCCAAACTCTGTCGTTGATCACGCCCAACTTTGCCTTATAAAAAGGACTAAGCGGTCGCTGCAAATATAATCCGGTTTACAAGTCCGGAGTCGAATCCCACAGAGAACTAAGGTTTAGCTACAGCTGTTCACTATCACCAAGAAGACAAGCTTGAACAATTCCTAACTTATAGATATTAAGATTCTTCTGTTTAAATAATTAACTAACAAATTAAAATAGTAAATTAACAACTAACGATACTGAGGGTTAGAGAAAAGATTAAGGAGGTCTAGAGTTATGATTTCCCCTATTGTCGGAATCCTTCCCGCTATGTCTTCTATAATTTCGCCTAAGTATTCTCTACCGATCATGAGCACTCTTATTACCGTAAATCTTTCCCGAGTAATTACGACAATTTACTAGATGCACTCTCCCGAGCTACGCTAGCTGGCTTTTAATACATCTCACTTCAGATCCCACCCAAGGCTTCGTTATCCCTAATCCCGCCTTTAAACCCTCGGTTATTGATCCCTCATATACTTTGGGAGTGGTGTTGTTCAACAATTACCTAAATATGCACTCTCTCCCGAGTTATGCATACTAAATAGGCACAACTAATTGAGAGCTCTTCAATCAACCAGAATATAAACGTAGTTGAACAAATAGAGAAAAGCTATGGCTCAATTATATAAAAACATAACAAGAATTTATCCTACAAAAGGTTCTATCAAAACTCTAGATAACAAATTAGCTATTCATAATAGTATGTAAAACTACAATACTAAAAGTTATAACAACCAATGAAAAATAGGAAGAGGAAGGAAAAACTCGTAGAAGAATTCTCCGCCTTGCTCCCAATGTGTTCTTGCCTCCAAGGGTGTTGTCTAACCCTAAAGTAGTGTCTCTCCGCCTCCTTAGGTCTAATTTGTGTCCAAAATATGTCCCCTGTCCTTTCTTGGCCGGCTTCCTTGGTTTAATATAGGGTTTAGGGCTTAAAATCCCGTGTTTTGCACATAAGTTCCTGAAATTTCCGCCTCCTGGCGCGGTTTTGCCGCGGTCGCGGTGGAACCGCGGCCAAACATGCCCTCTGATTCTTCAGTTGTCCGCGACCATCTTCTACCGCGGTTCTGCCGCGGTCGCGGTGGAACCGCGGTTTTTCACCCTGTTCCGTTTGGAATTTGGAAAAATGTAAAACATGAAAGTTGTATCCCTTTGAGTTAGCTTTCCAACCATATATTGTGAAGCCCAAATGGAGTTCTGAGCAAAAAGTTATGTCTATTTTACTAGACAGTGCGCAATATGCCTCCTCAAGTCTTCGTTCGTACTTAACTATCAAATTTGACCCCCGAACACGATCTCGGCTTAATTCCTTGAGCTTTTACTCAGACTTCAAAGCTTCAAATCACTAAAATTCATTCCATGACATCTATATAGCTCGGAATCACACCTGCAAGGCATAAAACACACAATTAGTGCAAAACACTAGCGATTAAAGCGCAAACTCAATTAAAGTGCAGTAAATTCAAGTGTAATAAGCGACTAAAATGTGCAATTATAGCCTATCATCAGTCATCTTGTTCAAGAACAACCCTAATGTCGCACCTCGCGTGTATGTTCCTGGAAGGCACGAATCGGGTTGTTGGTGGGAGGCAAAGAATGGTCGTGTTAAGTGAAAGGTCGTGGGTGGCAAAGAAAGGTCTGTCACCAAGGATGCCGAAATTATGTGCGGTGGCGACGGCGATCTCATTGAACAAAACAATACGAAAGTGACTAAGCTTTTGTTTCTCTTAGTTTCTGAGGGCACAATGTTTTCTGATTTCGCCTGCTTTTCCAGTAAGGACTCCAATTTTGCCCATCTTTATCATTGATTCTCCAACATCCTTGAAGAAAGTAAATGCAAAAAAAATTCTGTTGACTACTTAGAAGAACGATCGACGGAGGAACTGATGAGAGAGAATCCATGAGTTTGTATTCATGGAGAAAACTGGCGTTGAGAGAGAGAGGGTTGAGAAAGAGAGGGCAGCGTATTTTATGAGAGAGAGGGCAACGTATTTTATGGCTTAAGGGTAGGAGGTGACCATAAATAGATATTTGGCTATAAAAATCAAAAGATAGCTATGAAATATAATTTTTTAAAATGATATTTATTTAAAATAAATAAGGTATCAACCTTTATTATTGTAGGTAAAAATTCCTTTTCTTATTTCTTCTTATACAGATGACGACTAATGAATTTGGGCCGCAAATGAAAGGCCGTCAGAGAAGTTGACCCAATTCCCTAGCGCATTTACGTGTTTTTGTATGGGCCTAACGGGATTGGTCCAGAAAGTTCTCGCATCTGCTTATCTACGTTCCGGAATGCAGAAATAACGGTGCGGATAGAAATATCCAGAAAGCACTACACTCCTCTACGACAGTATAAATACCTACCCAGGTCCTCTTCCTTCCACCAATGAACTTGAAACTTAAAGCAAATTGAGAAAAGAGTTGCTACAAAAGTTTACTGAAAATGTCACTGATACCAAGAGTGTTCGGCGATCGACGAAGCAGCGTCTTCGATCCATTCTCAATTGACGTGTTTGATCCCTTCAGGGAATTGGGCTTTCCAGGTTCCAATTCACGGGAAACTTCTGCATTCGCTAACACACGAGTCGATTGGAAGGAAACTCCGGAGGCTCATGTGTTCAAGGCAGATCTCCCTGGGCTTAAGAAGGAGGAAGTGAAAGTGGAGATCGAAGACAATAGGGTTCTTCAAATCAGCGGAGAGAGGAACGTGGAGAAAGAAGATAAGAATGATACGTGGCACCGTGTGGAACGCAGCAGCGGCAAATTTATGAGGAGATTCAGGCTTCCGGAGAATGCTAAGATGGATCAAGTTAAGGCGGCGATGGAGAATGGAGTGCTGACTGTTACTGTTCCGAAAGAAGAGGTGAAGAAGCCAGATGTCAAATCCATTGATATCACTGGTTAGATAGACGCTTTAGCTAGCTGAAATATGTAAGTACGCTATGATATGTGAGCAAGTATATATGAAATCGAATAGAAATTGCTCTGTTTTTGTATCTGATCTGTAGTCGAGTCTGTTTTTCGCTTAAAGGCGTGTTTGATGTAATTTTGTTGAAATTCTATGGGGAAAAGGCAATAGTGTTGTTATAGAATTGAAGTGTCGTATTATCCTTCAATCCTGTTCGATCTCCCATATTTTCCGTCTTCTTCGTCTTTCAACTCCTTTTGGGTATTGGTTTACGTAGTAAGGTCAACAACTTAAATTTTTTCACTCTTGCACTTTAATTTCGTACAAAGTGTCAAAGTAAGGACATGTAGAGTAGACCTATTAAAGAATCCACAATTAAAACCATTACGATCGACTTACCAAAGCATTATCCTTTTAATGGGAGAAGTTGAGAAAAGAATTACGAACCTACAGTTGTGGGTGGTCATTGGGAGGGATCTTTCTACAAACAGCCCGTAATATTTATTGTTTATTTTTTTTAATCATATGCATAGATTATTCATTGATTATATACGATTATACACATATAATATATAAATTATACATATATTATACCTCTACCGGTTTTGATTTAAATGATTTGAATGGACGGTTATTTGAGTTAATTATACCTCCACGCCACGGGCTATCATTCAAAATTACATCAAGCATAACTGAAGACGAACTCAGTCGGTGTAATTAGTTTAGTTGAAAACTCAGAGTAGTTAAATTAGTTGTACATTATCCACGTGAATGAAAAATGCTCTCGTTTGAGGGAATGCGAAACTTCTTGGTAATTAATCTTTTCTACGTTAATGGGCTTTTCAGCCTAAAACACAGAGGAGTTGTACACAACTGTATGTTGATGTATTCGCGCCATGTATTCATGAATACAGTAACGGCAATCACCTTAAAATAGGTCTGTTCAGTTAGTTTAATAACGGAAAGAGGATCAATTAGCGTGATACATTCCAAATATAATGTAACAAAATCAATTTTAACATGCCTCATTATCAACCCAATTAATTAGCATATTTTTTCAGACATTGGACACAAAAATAGAGCATTGTATATTCAGCTTCAACTTTTTTTTTTTTGTGAGATAGTTCGAGGTTTTGATTCGACCGTCATTGATAGAAATTTTTTCTATTCGGCATTGATACAAGTATTTACATAATATTTAGCAATTCGATTTACTAGATAGCAAGCTTAACAGTGTTAATTCGTCATTCTGGAATGAGGAACTGTCTACACATATGACTGAAAATTTTTGTTAGTTTGCTATAATTACTTGCATTCACAAAATTAAGATATATGAATACATTATGTACTTTTGTCGGATGAATACATGAATACAACCTGTAATGTTCCCTATTTATTGAAAGCATGTATTCAATCGGTATAATATATATGTTATTTGAAATTATGGTGTAATGTATAAGAAAGTTATAATATGATCGATTAATACATGTCCGAATATAGCCTGCAATATGAATATTTATTGAAAGCATGTAGTCATGTATAAAGTATGTAATCAACATACTACCTGTATTCATGCATATTGTATGTACTCCATGTATTCATGGACAAATACATGTTTTGTACATATGTTCAAAACTGATGTTTCTCCGTTTAATGTAGGTTGTACCATCGACTGAACACCTGCACATGGTGAATGATGGCATTACATCATTTGCCTCCAAAAGAAAAATTGCAGTTGTGGGAGGTTCCAAGTGGACGAGCTACCGTGCCCACATGCTTGGGCTATCTTGAAAAGCAAATTTCTAGTGCCGGATAATTATTGCTTGGACTATTACAAGTCAAAGTCTGTTGTAACGACATACGAGGTCCCCGTGTATCCTCTCCCTAACCGAAATGAATGGAATATACAACACATATATCAGAGGAAGTTGTCTTACCACTCAAAATGGAAGAGACCTCTTGAAAGACTAAAGAAGAAGCGCAATAAGCCATTAAGTGAATTGCTTCAAAAGAAGAGTCAACATACGTGTAGTATATGTAGGCAGGGCGGACATAATAAGCGTACTTGTAGAAATGCCCCACGTAGGAATTAGTTGATGTTCTGCTTTTAATTCCTTCAATCCCTGTTTTTGGATGTGTTAAAGATTTCTATTACTTATTGGTTTCTAGATGTATTTGATTGTTCCTAGATGAATTTTTTAAAGGTAGATGACTAAATACATTATTGATAAGTTTTCTGATACCTTATAAAAATGATGTATATATATGTATGTATATGTATAATAGGACATGTATATATACTGTAAGCGGTAAAATACATTATTATAATTCAATTCAAAATACATTTGAATACAGAATACAACTGTGTAGTTGACTAAATACATTACTGTTAAGTTTTCTGATACCTTAAAAAAATGATGTATATATATGTATGTATATGTATAACAGGACATGTATATATACTAGAGGTGGTTAAATACATTCTTATAATTCAATTCAAAATACATTTGAATACATAATACAGTTATGTACATGATTACACAAATACAGAAATACAGCAGGATACATACATGACACGTGTATATACTGTAAGTGGTTCTTGTACATTCAGTGTATTTAAACAAAGTTTTTACTAGACTTCAAACATAGATAAATACAACTAAATATGAATACATTGATTACAAAAAGATTTAAAAAAAAATTCATGTTTTTCAGAATAACTAAAATATTATTAATACAATTACATTTGATTAAATTATTTTCAGCACTTCTAAAAAAATAGCAAAGTTAAAATGGATTCTTGAATCATGAGAATTTAAATACAGAAGTATATCAGAAAAAATGAATATATTCATAATAACAGTTGATGTAGCCCAAAAAACACATTCATGTATTCAATATAAAGGTTGCGTAGAACCACGAACAATTCAGTAATAAGCTAAAAATACAATCTTAAAACAGAAAACTATTCTATAACTATATTTACAGAAGTATTTGATTTGTGATTTGCCTAATAATCTTTGTCGGTGCTTCATTGTCGCTTATCGCATCGGCATCTAACTTCCGCATAGCATAGTCCCAAAGGAGTGCATCATATCTTAGCCGGAGTAAATTAGGATCAAAGGTTGTTTGTGAAATCAATCCACAAGTGCTCAAATACTTTGCATATGATGCGACATACAACCACAATCTCTCCAAAAAAGTGGATTAATAACACTTATATATATATATATATATATATATATATATATATATATATATATATATATATATATATATAAAGAATTGAATGCATACATGTTCCTAGATCGTTGTTGAGGCACATTTGAAACTAACACAACATCAAAAGCATCAGTTCGTGCCTTGTCATTGTATGCATACAAAATACAGTACATACAAAACAGTGAATACATGAATACAGAACTCAGTCATGAATACATCTAAATACACTGATAATGACAAAAATACAACTTTGAGTTATGGCAATAATGACAGAACTGTTGATGTGTTAAAAATTATTGTTTTATGAACTCAAATACATATAAATACATCTAAAAACAAAAATGAAAATTACTGTGCAAACTAAAATCAGTGTATGCGGACACAAATACATATAAATATATCTAAAATATCTTGTTCTTCCGTGTTTTCGAGCTACTTCCTTTAGCGACCTCTTTTCCCTTGCTCCCGGATGCAATATCGATAAGTTTTCTTCTCTTTTCCACATTTAAGTCTTGTATAGAAATTGAGGAACATCAGGAACTGTTAATTTTTTCGAAGATTTCTCATCTTGACCTTGTTTCATAGGGGTCATTGGCGCATTTTTGTTCGCCTCTCGGTTTCCATGGTTGCTAATGAACCTGCAGATACAGGTTCCTCTTGAGTGATTCGCAAATCGAAAGATGACCCATCAAAATTGAGTGCTTTAGTGGGTATACCTCGTGTAGGGGTGGCAATTTGAGCCCAAACTCATCCAACTCGCCCAAACCCGCTCAGAGATTAAAGGGTTGGGCTACAAACATTTTAGCTCATGGGTCTATTTGGGCTAATCCCAAGTTAACCCATTATTTTTTAGGAATGTTTACATTCCTATCCCACCTAGGAAACCTTTTTACCCTACATGTTTAAGGTTTGAGTAAATTACATTTAGTATACCAAATTACCATTTCTATACCATATCTAATTAAGGTTATAATTAATGAGATATTTTCTACTCCTTAATTAAAGCATTTCCGTTTTTTTTTCAATACTAATTCCTCACTTTCTCTCTCCTAACCCCTCATCCCCTTACGCCCACGTTCCATTGCTGCTTCCGTCTTCATGTAAATTCAACATGAGAAAATGTGGGAACGTATTTGTTTCTACGTCAATGGACTTGATTAATTAATTGGAAATGCAAATCTTGATCTCCAGAGCAAGGGTAATTGATAACTACATATTCCTGATGTTGTATTTTCTTTTGTGAAATTCTTTCTAAGTTCTCAAGTTTGAATTTCTAATGGGCAAAAATAATATTAGTATTTTAAGTGGTTGGATGAGCGCCTATCTTTTTTCTAACAGTTGATCTCCAAGTTAGATTTTGAGACAAACTCCTTGCTTTTCCAAATATAATTGTAGTTATTTTGTAGATGTTTTTGTAGTTATATTGTCGTTAGCTTTTAAATTTTGTAGTCATCCATTTTAGGATGTCAGACATTGTAGTTAAATTGTACTATAACTGTTGTAATTTGTAGAATCTTTGTAGATAATTTATTTAAAGAAAACATTTTGAAATCAACAATTTCTAATCATAGATTGTAGTTTATTTTGTCGTATAAATGTAGTAACTTTGTAGATAATTTTGAAAACAGAAAACAATGCATCTACAATCAGAATACAAATAATCTACACTTTATCTACAAAATATCTACAAACTGGATACATTGAATTTTAATATCCCAATTCCCATTTCAATTGTAGCATAATTGACATTTTCGACATAATTGCGTTTTTTGCAGAAGATTTGTAGAAGATTTAGTCATTTTTGATTTGTGAAAACAGAAAACCAAGAACCTATAATTAGAATACACATAATCTACAATTTATCTACAAAATATCTACAAACTAGGTACATTAAATTTTTATATCCCAATTCTCATCCAATTGTAGCATAATTGTGGTTTTTGACATAATTGCGTTTTTTCAAAAGATTTGTAGAAGTTTTAGCCG